AGTGCTGTTGGCATAGATGCACAAACAGATACCAAATATATTTGAAAGAAAGATGTGATTTTGCTGCTGTGTGGCTCTAGTTATCCAAATACTTGATTGAGATTGAATAGAAACTTTAAACATCAGCTAGTGAAGTAAAACTCTCTCTAATTAGGGTTAAAAATGTGTTGCATTGTATCTTATGTTTCATTAAAATGTGTAAATAATTCGTGCTCCTAAATAAGATTTAGTAAATTATGTTACCTTTATACTTGGAAACCTTCATGCCAACTAAATCTTGACTTTTCAGTGTCTTTCTGCAGCCTTCCAAAGTAGGAAGTTGTGCTTTTCCTTCTTTCATGTCGTATTTGTACTCACAAGCCCTTTTCTGAGACATCATGTTTATATTTTCTTTCCAATCTAAAGCCACCCAGAACTCCCCAGCTGGGGCCAGAGGAGGTGGGGAATTATGATGGGGTTTTTTCGTGTGGTTGTGTTTAGTTCATATGATGTGACATTGTCCTCAGGATGTAATGGTCGGTTTGACCTCTTTACAAACACCAACTATGTGAGAAAACACTTCACAATCTGTGAGAGGATTCTTGGTGGCTCTTGGGAGAGTGGAAGAATTTTCCTTGGCTGGCAGCAGTGAGGACTAGGCTGCGCTGCCGACTTTAGTGGTGTGTGAAGAACAGCCTTGTAAGCAGGAGAGGTCAGTGTAGACTGGGCTCAGTCACTGGTTTTCCACATCTTTTTATTTCATTTTCTTTTATGAAATTTAGGTTGCTGCTGACACACCTGCACATCTTTACGCTTCAGACTGAAGGAGCACGCACGGCTCCTAGGCTGTGAGCAAGGTCTCCTGGTTTCACAGAAGTTGTGGTATCTCACAGGGGCAGGGCATAGAAAGAGGATGTGTAATTTTTATTTTGATTGTGAGAGAAGGGATATTTTTGTGTTTTTCCATAGATGAACAGATGGAAATGGAATGGAAATTATTTGCAAGGCATGTAGGTATTTGAGTTATGATTCCTTATTTTAAATTGTCAGGGCTACTAATAATTGTAATGCATCCAGGGCAGAATGTGGTGTTTCTGTAATTTTTGGCTGAGACATTGATAATCCAAAAAAAGGGAATGTCTTACAACTCAAGATGATTTGTTTTTGGTTTTGTTTTTTTTTTTTTTTTTGTGGGGTGGGGGGGGGAATGTTTTTTCTCCTGGTTAAAAAACAAGTTATTATTTCTGTCAGTATTCTTAGGATTTTTTATTAGGAGAAAAAAAAGTTTTCATATCTTCTCACATCTTTTTGTATATGGTACAGTATTTGTCATAAGACATTAACTTCAGTAAATTGCTTATTGTTCTACAAAAGAACACCTTAAAATTTGCTCTTTTTTTGACGGAATTAAAATTCCCAAAGGAATTTTGTAGCCCTTCACTCTCTACAACTACCTGAAAGGAGTTTTAGTGAGGAGGAAATGAAAGGATGATTGGAAATATCCTTAAATCAGGGAAGTTCAAATTAGATATTTGAGGAAAAAAAACTTAACTGAAAGAGATGTTAGACATTGGAATAAGTTGCCCAGGGAAATTACAGAGTCACCATCTTTGAAATTGTTCAAGAGGCATTTGGATGTGGCACTTGGGGATATGGTTTAGGAGTGATTATGGTGGGTACTGGGTTAACCATTGAACTAGATGATCTTGAAGGTCTCTTCCAAACCTGATGATTCAATGATTCTATGAAATATTTTCAATCGGGTGCTGACTTCCTCTTATAGCACATATGAGCTCACTATGGCAAATGAAATAGTTTATTACTGATCTCAAAAAACATATTAATAATGCACCTTTGATATATTTCTGATTGGTAGTCTGACTCATTGACAGATTAAAGGATTAAGGCAAGTTGTGATTTTCATTTCAAAGACAATTTTAAAGAAGAAGGAAACAGAAATTGTCGGTTGAACTTTTCAGAGAAAATTGTTACATGAGTAGGAAAATATAGTACTGTTTAAAAGAAAGACACTTTCTGTTGTGACTTGGAGCCACAGGGCTGATTCCCAGGCCTGCCACTACCCCGTTAAAGAGACAAGCCCCATGGGATGTCAGTGATATGAATTGTAGCCAGGAGCTGAGGAATAAAGTAAAATACTGCTTTGTTTATTGTGAAAGGTTATGATCAAAGTAGCTCTGTGTGTTTCCTTCTGTATCTTTCCTGACTGTTAAAATATTTTTTACAAGGCTCCTCCAGTGATTTAAATGAGCAAGGCTGTCAGCTGTCACCTTGTGAATTTTTGTCTTACATAGAAACATTTCTGCCCTGAAAGATCTGTGTTCTGCTGAGAAAGCATGTTCTTACTGGGAGATATAGCTTAATTAATGTTGCTTAGTATAGCAGAGTGATACTGCCTAGAATAATGTCGTTTCACCTTGGCTTTCCATGCTGGGAAAAAAATCAGAAATCCCTGAGTGCCGCTGGCACAAAAAAAAGCATCTTCCTGTAGGTGTGTTTAAGTTTTGTAATGACTAGCACACCTCAGGCTGACCTTTCTTTCACCCACTTTTTTGGTTGAAAACTGATTTCATATCTCATGGAGTGAGCAGGGGCTGCAAGTGCACAAGAACACTCCAGAAGCTGGAATTCAGATCGTAGCAGTGGTGGTAAACAAAGCCTGGGAAGAGGCAGTGCTTCTACTGCGGAGAAAGCCTGGTGCTTCTGATGTCAGGAAGGGGAAGGGCATGTCCTTGTGTGGCAAAAGATTGGAGACTTGTATGGAAGCTCACCTGGCCTTTATCTTAAACCTTGAGTTATCCACAAGGAATGGGGAAGATTAGAGTAGAGTCAGCCTGGTTATTTCAATAATTCTATGTCAGTTTACCTTAAAAAGGACACTAGAAATCTCTTTTTGAGTAAGTATCAGCTGTCTACTTGCTAAAGCTGCAGGATTTTCCACATGAATTTACATTGCTTTTATTGTACAGATGTTTCTCTGGCCATATGAATCAAATACTCTTTTCACAATTACAAGAAGGTCCCGGTTACACTTTTGTGTTGGGTATCGATACTCATCTCGGGGAATATTTTCTGACTCATAATATTCATTATTCTTGCAAAGAAATGGTGAGTTTCTTTGTTGGGAGCTAATGTCCTTTTGCCTTTGTATGAGAGTGGGAAAAGAGAAAATCTTCTTAGCTGGGTGTTGCTAGAGATTTTTAAGTCTTATGTAGGTGTTCTACCCACCTTCCATCTAATCTGTCTACCAAGCGCAAGCCAGCTTGGACAAAATTTAAAGTATTGTCAGGGCAATATTTCAGATTTTTTTAAATTCAAGTGATTTATTAATTCATTGCAGGTCTTTAGGTTCTCATGAAAGCAAAAAATGTATGTAACTGAGAACATCTCTGGTGGTGTACATAGTAAAAGCACAATAAGCCTTTGAAGAAGTGGAATTTGTAATTCATGTTCAAAAACCCTATTGGGATGACAGGAGAGACACATTGCCTGTGCAATCTAAACATGCACAGTAAAATTACTTAGTAATCATAGCATGGAGAATGGGGGGCTGGTTAACTTCAGCTAAGAGCCTTTAATGTCAAAATTCAGGTCTTGACCATAAATCTTCTGGCCTGTATTTAAGGCAAGCCCTGAATATACTGTGGGGAACAGGGAAAATGGATTGTTTGTATCCCAGTTGGCAATTTCTATGTTGTTTCCTTTAATGGTTCCTCACAATGTGATTTACTTCCTAGCCCAGGGGTCTACTGGTGTCCTTATAAAGTTGGATTCACATGACTGTGAAACAGAGTAGGAATCAGAAATGTGCTTTGAAGGCTTACAGACCGAAACAGGGATCTAATGAAGTTAGGTGAGAGCACTGAAGTTCTGAGAAGAGCTTTTCTCTGATGAGGCTTCGGATGCAGATGCTGTGGCTGGAGGCCTGTGCCCTGCCCTCCTCTGGGGAGAGCAGGGGATGCTGTCCATGTCTTCCATGATGCCAAGCATATCTGCCTTGTGGAATGTTCTTGATCACATTTTATTTACGTGATAAAATATGGATTTGTTTAGTTGTTGGTTCGATATTGATGTGTATAGCATCTATAGCATTGTGAAAGCACATATCTAAATAACAATCAAAATTCATTCTACACAGGTGAGATCCTTCCATCCTTCCTTTAGTTGTCTTACCCATTTTTTTGCCCTGTATGTCTCTGGAGAGGGTGTGTCTGCTTGCAGAGTAAGGTTCTATTAGATTAGAAAAGGATAATGGAATTTAGTCCAACATGTTTATTATTGAGCTGAAGTAAAGCTATAAATGGAATGCAGTTCTTCAGGGTTCAGTGGCTATGCCTAGTCTTTGAAAAATGATAAATAGCTTCTAATTAGATGAATGATATTTCATGAAAATGATAAACAGTTTCTAATAACCCCTTTTCTCAGGAGGCTTTGCACAGTTCAGTTCTGAAAATCTGAGTTTACAGAATTGTAACCAGAAGTGAGGTATGTTATAATGAGTGAGATGTACAAAATACATCTTATATTTGTTTATTCCAATCATTGCATGCAGCAGAATTAAAAAAAAAAAAGGAGGGGGGTGGGACAAGTAATAAGTGTTGTCTCGATTTTATTTATTTTGACTACTTCAGGTTTTCTCCAGAGTGTATTTAGAAGAAAGAAGAGCCTGAAAATAATCTTCTCAATATTTTAAATGTTACTCAGTATGAAAGTTGATTAATGTGTCCCACTTTGGCTCATACAGTAATCTCAGTATAATAATTGTGGGGTTTGCAGCAAGGAAGAAAAAATTGCTTTGTGCATTCTAGGACAAAATAACTTTTTTTTTCCCCTGCTGATATTTAGAAGTAGATGAACAAACCAATAGATGACTTTTAAGATATTTGCTATAGCCTTGGCACAGTTCTTTGACCCTGATATGACTATAAAAAGTATGAGATAAAGAAAACAGTTGCTAATAGAGAAAGGAAAATACAATATTTTTTTTCTTTCCTCTCCCACAGGACATTAATGTATGTATCCTTGAAAACTACCCTGAATGTTCTAATCCCAGGTTATTTTACATCATACCATATTTCTGTGGACAGCATCCAAGATGCAGGTAAATGTATGCAAGGTATTTCAATTTGTTCAGCAATAGCTATTGCCAACATTTTGTCAGAAATTGGTAATAAAGAGGAGACATTATTTGAAGTACAAGAGAAAAATGAAAGTACAAGGAGTGTAGCACTGCATGTAGTAACTGCATGCATATATTTTGAAGTAAGGGGCCATTGCAAATGTAGCACCATTCTTCTTTCTTGATTTATAATTCAATAATTCATCAAATATGAATGTATTTATGTGAAATTTTTTTCTGGGTTCCTAATTTTATCTGCACAGTAATTTTGTAATATATTTTTCTGATTTGCTCAGATGCTTGTTTGAGGTCTATATGTGGAATACAGGTTTCTGTGCCCATGTAAGAAACCCTATTCATGCTTAAAACTATGTAAAATGCAGCCTTCTACTGCTTTAATTGAGCTACCTCATATTTAACATCTGTGTATGCCATTCTAATATTGCTGTATTACTGATACCATAGTAAATTTTTATGCAATAATATATGAATTATTTTAAATTCTTTCTTGGCTTTAAACACTTTAGTATTGTTGGTAACAAATGTTCTTTATTAGGTGTATTCAACTTCAAATTATTCTGTTTCTGTATTATTCAGGCTTCTCCATAATGAAACAACAGAACATTTTCCAGAATTTCTTTCAAAAGCCATACTTCTTGTAGCAGTAATAACAAGTGAAAATGTGTTGTTTCTTCTGTATTAATTTCTAAGTATGTTGCAAAATCCTGCTTTTTTTTTTTTTTTTTTTTTTTTTTTTTTTTTTTTTTTTTTTTTTTTTTTTTTTTTTTTTTTGCTTAACTGAAGTTATGTGTAAGAAACAAAACAGGTTAATGACTTCATTTTCATTGCACATTTTTTAAACACATTTTGGCCTTATTTGCAAATGCTTCTGGTTGCACATTTAACTTGCATGTGCGAGCAATCCCATTAACAACAGTCACATTTCTGAATACTTTCACAAAATATCTCTCTGAGGCTCCCAAGCAGCATATTGAAGTACTGCTTTGTACCTTGTTTGGTACCTTGTAGGTTTTGCTCCTGCCATGCCCTTGCACTCACTTCAGCTACTTCTTAGTCCGATAAGGAGCTACAAACAGGAGGCTCATAGAGTTTATTAGGACACTTTGCTCTTCCAGAAAATAGATCAGTGCCCAGAAGAGCATGAGAAACCTGCTACAAGTCTGCTCTAGTAGGAGTGGAAAGTAGTCAACTTTTCCACATGACACAGAAAGAGCTTCAGACAAATGTTAAATTCACTGTTGCATAGAATCCACAATAACCTAATGAAGTCACAGAAGAGGTGTGATTTACAGCCACTCCCAGGCAGTGTGGGCAGCTGATTCCTTTAGCCTGGGACACTGACATTATATCCCATGTCAGTATGAATGATGGCTGCTGCTCCCAGAACATAGCAAATCGAGTTATTATAAGGGATTTAGGATTCATGTGGTTGTCTAATTACATTGTGCTTTTGGGAAGCAGAGAAGCATAAAGATGTAGTGAAGTCCTGCCAGCTTTTCTCGCTGGGAGAAAAGATAGAAAAACCCTAAACTTCAAAATCAGTATCAGTCACGGCAAAAAAAAGTGCTGTAGCAAAGCTGCAGGGCAACAAGGGGTAATGACAGGGAAAGGGAAGCTCCTGGAGATTTTGGCAAAAGTTAAAATGAAGGACAAGGTGGAAAATGGTAGTGTCCTGTGTAGGATTCACCAAGTAACAGCAGGCAATGCTTGGTCCCAACAATTCTCCTGATGTAGTTCAGGAACACCACTACCCCTTAGCACCTTCCAGCACCAAGGGCAGTCATCCCTCTGATCAGACAGGTTGTACTTCCAAGTTGGAATACCAAATTTCAAAGTTTGAGCTTCTAAACAACTTGGCAAAAGATATCTTCAGAATGGAGTACCTTCACACAGTGATTAGCCTCCTTTTAATGTGATCCTGTTTTTACATGCCAATTCAATTTTAGATGTTGCATGGAAAAGCTCAGTTAGCTACTCGGGTTTGGTGGGGAGGTCTTTCATTGTTCTAAGTATAGCACTGAATATTTTTTTATTCACTTGTGTTCTTGGCTGGAATTTGAGAAATAAATGCATATTTATTTTTTTCTTTTCCCTCCTTTGTCTTCCCCCAACAATTTCATACAGGGAGCCTGGTGAATGGGCCCTTGAAAGAGCAAAGCTGAACGTTAATGAAAATTTTCTGCTTGTGGGCATTCTGGAGGAGTTGGAGGATGTGCTGCTTTTATTAGAAAGATTCTTACCTCATTATTTCAAGGATGTGCTTAGCATCTACAAAAATCCAGGTAACTTTTACCATTAGAAAGCTATTCTTACAGAGACTTCAGCTAAATATGCATAGCTGCTGAAGGGTACATTTCTTTCTTGTTCAGTCAGTGAAGTTCATCTCCCTTTTAGGAAGCAGATTTGATGTTGGGGAAGGTAACATGTTCCACTTTTATCTTTAATGTTGATGTTCAGTTTTCTTTCCTTGCCTGCACTTGTTGCTCAGTGATCTTTCCACATGCCAGAAGTCTTCCCATTTTCCCCTGGAGTGGCTTTTCTTTCTTTTAATTGTGTCATACTCAGTTCTCAAATAATATTGTCAAAATGGTGTCAGCAATATGTACTTAAATAAACCTTCAAGAAATGGTTTGGGGAGCTGGACATTTTTGAGATTCTCCTGGACCAGGTTATTTATTTTCCCTCAGCCTTGACCATGAGTGGAAATGAAATAAACCTTCAGCTGAGCTGAGTTTAGGTAAAACACAAATAAGAATGTGCATTTACAGCAGTTAGAATGAAAAGCATGCTAAGTGAAAAGACTTAGAAGTCTGGAGTAGAGAAATGAAAATGGAGAGCACTCAGCCTACCCCTTAATTTGCACCCCATGGTCAATCTGAAAGGGTTCTCTGCATCAATCCATCCCTGCAATATTGATTTATTGCTGACTTCTTTAAAAGGCGGTATTGTGTCCTATGCCTAAAAATAAATATGATGCTTTGGGAGGTCTGTGCATGTCATTCCAGCAGAATTGATTTCTTGTTTACATTTGACTGGCCCATCAACACTGTGTGCACTAAGCAGGGGTAAAACTTCCCTTCTTCCTTTGTGACTCTGTTACATTTTTGTCAATGTGAAATTTCTACAGCCATTATTATGTGTGTTTTGTACCAAGCTGTATATTCAAAGCACATGCAACAAGGATTGAATTTCATTTGCAATGCATGCAGCTGATGGCTGGCTTCTGACTGAGAACAATATTGCAGTAGAGAGTCACTCTGGAGAAATTAGGGGCTTCTGTCCATAGCCAGAATTTAGGCATGGCTATCTGTCAAACCCTTCTTCTGGGATGCATCTTTGGAAATTCTGTATTTAGCTGTGATACAGGTACTAGGGAAAGTATGGCATTCCTTCTCTGAACATGTTTGCAGTGGGTCATTGTCTGCTTGCAAGCAGGCAGTTAAGGCAGCTCTTTGGAAGGTGGGAGTGTAACTTTGCGGTGCCACGTCCAGCCATAGAGCGATTTTGCTTAATAATAGACATAAAGAGAGTATTGTACTGACATAAGGGCAATGCCCAATTTGGGATCAGGTACTTCCCTTGTTTTTACAAATTAAAAAATAAAAATAACTATGTTTGTACTATGTTGAAGTCATCCTAAAGGGTTGCACAATTTGGTCTCGAAGGATTCTCCTTAGGGATGTTAGACAAAAGGAAGGCAGGGGGATCAATAGAAGGATATGTGGTCTCTGCCATGAGAGTTTTCCTTGAGTTTATATGACTTCTTCAGTTGCTCTGTGCACCACAAATTTTCATTTCTTTTACAATGGGGGATGCGAATAAACAGCATGCAGGGTTTTGATTTTCATCAGGGTGCCCTAGAAATTGTCAGGTGGGAAATAAGCAATCCACCAGAATCATTAAGTGCTGGGTAATCTTTCTCATGTCTTTATATTTTCCGGTATCTGGAGGAAATTTGATCACTTGTTACAGGACAGTAATTTCCTCTGGGATTTCATTTGAAAGATGGGTCTTGAATCTAAAGATTCACCACTTTCTGTCAGTATTCCCTAGGTAGATTAAATCTTTATTTTATCTTTCCCATTCACTTATTGACTGGGCATAATAGTAAGAAAACAGTTTCCTTGTGTTAACTCTCTCCTCTTTTCATACATGCATATATTTGAGGAGTTTTTTCCTATCATAATTATTTTGTGGTTATTTCTGAGTTGATGCTAATGCTTACAAAAAAACACCCTTAACAGAATCAGCCAGAAAAATAAAAAATAATTACGTGGTGTGTAAGAAATCCTACATTGTTCTCCTCAGGGCATCTTAGACCTGATCTGCAACACCCTCTGCTGTTGCATCATGAAGTGCTTGGAAAAAGATATTTTGTTCTGCCAGCTGTGTGGTGGTCCCACAAAGCAGCAGATAACCTGGGCAAAACTGACCTTTTGTTGCAACTAACACTTGCAGATTAAATCTATAGAGTTTACAGTCCTGTAAACTGCTGGCCTGCTGCTCCACTTGAGATTCTCTTATGGCAATCTTTTCTCTTTCCACATAAAGAAGGAAAGTTTTCTTGGAACTTATCTTTTGTCAGCTGAATATAACAAGATGAGGAAAACACAGAGAAGGATGTGTAGAGAAAGGTGATTCACTTCCAGAGTCCACTGCAACAAGCAGTTCTGAATTAGAGGCAATTCAGAAACAGGATTTGTAGGGCTGCCTTGAATCAAAAAGTAGCTGAAGACATTTTCAATTCCGTGTTGCTTTAGTGGATTACACAGATTAGAAATCACAGTAGGAAACAAGCAATTGCTGTCCCACTGACATCATAATCTAAACCGTATTAAAAGCGCCTTCCTGCCATAGGAAGCAAAATGCCTGATGGTATCAAATGCACAAAATCACATGTGCATTTGAGATACATCTGCAGGAGTTGGGAATTAAACCTCTTCCTCCTGAAGTTGTGACTTTCCTCACTCATTACAGGTGCTTTGGTTTGCCACCAGATCACCGTAGGTCCCATCTAAGCAAACTTTTTAATATTGGAAACCTTCAGTATAGGTTGATAATACAGAAATCAGGAAATCTAGAAACCTTTTTTCATCTCTGTTCCTTTGAACTGTGCAGGCCATATTTAAAGCTTTCGGTTTCTTTTGTTTCTGTAGCAAAATTTCTCATCTGAAGTACTATAATAACATTTATCAAGAAACTCTTAGTGTTGTCTTAGGAGAAAACAAAGCCTGTAGTAATATTCAAAAATATTTTTCTGCTGTTGTTCTGAAGTAGATCATTAAAACTGTGGCTCTCTGATAAGATAGTGTGACATTTTCATCAGAGAGCTACTGTCTGTGCATCTGATGACACAGGTAACTGCTTAAAGCAGTATTAGTTGAGTGCTTTTCTTTTGATGCTAATGACTTGTCTGATATAAGCTGGCAGAAGGAAACTGTGAAGAAAGGTAAAGTTTTAAGAAAACTTGGCAGTTCAGCATGATAGAAAATTTTTATGTCAGAGGACACTAGGAGGGTAACTTTCTTCATTGCATTAACAAAAACGTTGCATTCAGCTATTCCACATGCCAAATATTTTGACTTGTGTGTTTTATAACTACATGTAACAAAATGTGAAAGCTCTTTGTGATGCTAAGTTTTCATTGGAACCAATGTGGTTTTATCTTGTACAGTACTTTAAAGCTGTGGGCTTCCTGTTTTTCTGTGCCTCCACATTCTCCTTGAAATGAAGCATTATCTTAATGTTAATACCAAGTCAAGAATTGCAAAAGGACTCTTTTTTTGATACCTATCTTGTCCAAAGTTACAAACTTGTCTTGGTAGACAAAACTGGCTTTGACAAGAGATTAAAAGGGCAGGAATGAGGGCAGCAGACAGATTGTGAAATCAATAGATAGATTAATAGATGGGTAGAATAAATTTTAAAAAGACATTTCTTTGCTAACATAGTAAAATCTGCTCAAAATTTTGTCCTGATTTCACCAGCATTGAAGTAGGTAAGATCCAATTGTAGAACCTTAGATTAGATTTATTGAAAAATTTAAAGTACTCTTTACTCTTTGAAAGGCTTGAAATAGTTATAGCAAAACTTGATGTGTAAAATCTTTCCTCAGTCTTAGGGGCTAAAAGAAAAAAAGAATTGGTCAGTCCTGTTCACTTTTGCTGGCTGTAGCTCTCTTCTGTAGCCTGGCTGGTAGCCAGAATTCAGAGAATATTTACACAGTTTCATTTGAAATGGGCACATGTCGGTTTCATATCTTCGGTGTTTATAAGAGACAAAAAATACATACTATTCTCAGCAAAACAGAGTTTTCTTCTGTCTTGTCAATTTCTGTGGCATGGGGTAAAAGTTAACAGCATCCACTGTAAAACAATAGGCAATGAAATGGTTTTTTATCACCTCAGAAATGAGCCATATCCTCACACCTCAGGAGTTCATAAATTTTCTTTGGCACCAGAAGCCCTATAAAAACACTTCTTCCCAATACCAGGAAAAAAACCCTTTGTTTCCTGAAAGGTTCATTTAGAATGGAGAATGTATAGGTCTTATGCTACAACAAGAAGACTGACTTTAAGCTTTTCAGACAGTGAATTTTATTGAGTGCAATGAAATAACTCACACTGTCAGCTGAAAGAAAAGATATTGTTTAGGCAAACTGTGATTTTTTTTTTAATGCAATGAAAATGTGATTCCCATAAGAATTGCATTTACAGGGAATGTTTTCAACTGTAGTAGTAATATTATCACACGTAATATAAACCCTCTTGTTTTTTTTAATCTGCTATGTTCATGAATATTAATGATACAGTCTTGACATTTTCTATTAATCAGTTTCCCCTTCTCTTTAAACCCATTAAGGAGAGAGATGCTGCCATTTGTCTTTATTGCAGAGCTGAGGTCCTGAGAAGCAGAGCATTTTTGATGGAGTCAGGAAAAGGGTGAAATCAAGCTCAGCAGTCTTTGTGCTGTGCTGAAGTTCACTCCTGTGCCAGGCCAGCACTAAAGGTGGGATGTGCCTCCAGATGGTTCAGATGATATGCATTTGGTAAAGTTCAGAAACAAGGAGGTTTTCCCTCTGAGAAATTGTAGTGAATGTGTTTACAGGCACCACCACCAAGAGCAAAAACTTTGAGCAAGCAATAATCATAGGACTCTAGTGGAAGGAGGCAGTGCTTTTTGTGCAGTGTCTTTAAATGGAGATCATATTATCACCTTGTATTCTACTTTTGTTTAGCCCAAAATGAAAGAAGAAATTAGAACAAGTTACATGAGGCTTCTT